TAAAAAAATTAGATAAATTATGTTTTTATGTTATGTCTAAATTACTATATACTATTTTTTAGTCAATGGTTTAGCATTATCAGACAGAATTATCCTAATTAGTATCTTCTCATTTTTAGCGTTGTAGAATGAATGAAGACACTGGCAGTAGTTACTTAACACCTTGGCAGCTGTGTCAAGTAGTTGATGGTGGGGGTGTTGGAATTATAGAAGAAAGCAAGTACATCTATTTGACTAAAGGTGATTTTGTGACTTCCTTCTATTGGCCCTGGCAAACCAAGGTTATTCTGGATGGAAATATCCTTGAAAAGGTAATGTATCTGATTGTTTCCCTCTGAAGTCCTAACTTTGTATGTTTGACATTCCATTTTGTTTACTATCAAGTAAAATAAAAGCATACATTGTCTTTTTGCTAGCCATCATAATGTGGCAAAGACTCTCCCAAACCTTTGTTCCTATTCCACTGTTGGCTATGACTACATATAGCAGTTCTCAGATGACCAGTGAATGGTGTCATTTTCAAAACCTAACCTATATACATCAAAACGTATTTCATATTAAGAAGGCCTCATAAATGGTATGCTTTCAAATTTCCTGAGAAATAGCTTCCTGACTTAAGAAACTCATTCGAATGCTTTATGATTGAAATTCCATCTTGTGTCAGAAATCTTGAGTTCAGTTTCTTCTATTAGGTTGAACCATGGAAATTACCGATATGTGGCTGTTTTTAATCTACAAACAATGGCAACTTTATGTAATCGCTCTAATAGATGTGTCATCAAGGAAATGTATGTCTCTGGACTTCAGTTTTCTTGTGTGCAAAATGAAAATAACAGCTGTCTCATAAATGGATGTAGAAATTAAATAATATATGTGACAAAAGCTTGGTAAATTGTAAAAAGCAGTATATATTTTTACCACGCATCTGTCAGTTTGTTGTATTGTGGTAGCTTGCACATTGCTATGAGGCTGGAGACTATGCCACCAAGTATTTCAGATACCTGCAGGGCCTGCCATGTTGGACAGGTTAAGTGGGGCTTCCAAATGAAGACAGACTGAGAAGAAGGATAGGACCATCTACTTCTCAAAAAAGCAGCCAGTGAAAACCTTATGAATAGCAGTGAAACACTATCTGATACATTACTGGAGCTTTATGAGTACCCTGAAATGTTGTCTGATATAGTGCCAGACTATGAGCCCCTCAGGTTGGAAGGCAATCAAAATATGACTGAGGGACAACTGCCTCCCCAACGTAGAGAAGACCTTAATAATGTGGGTGGAGTAAAGCTTTCGGGACCTCCATTTGCTGATGGGCCGCAACTCAAAATGGGAAGAAACAACTGCAGACATCCATTAATAATCAGAACATGGAATGTACCAAATATGAATCTAGGAAAACTGGAGGTTGTAAAAAATGAAATGGGACACATAAAGATTGATATCCTGGGCATTAGTAAGCTGAAATGGACTCATTTGAGCCATGTTGAATCAGATAATCATATGGTCTATTATGCCAAGAATGACAAATTGAAGATGAATGGTGTCACTTTCATGGTCATAAAGAATGTTTCAAGATCTATCCTGTAGACGTAGCTCGGGGCAGGAGTGCATGGAGCAAAGGACACAGGGAAGAGGTAACTATGGGAAGGAAGAGGGAGGGGAGTTGTTGCATTGTGGTAAATTGTAGAAGTATGGCCTTGGTGATAGAAATGATGCCAGAGATCACATGATAGAATTTTGCAAGACTAACCACTTATTCGGAGCTCTGGTAGCATAATGCCTAAGGCACTTGACTGCTAACCAGAAGGCTGGCGGTTCAAACCCAGCAGCCACTCCTCAGAAGGAAGGTTGGGCAATTTATTTCTATAGTGATACTGCCTCAGAAACCCAAGGAGGGGTCGCCATGAGTTGGGGTTGACTCGACGGCACATAACGACAACAACAACAACAACAACCACTTATTCATTACAAATCCTTTTTTTCAACAACATAAACAGCAGCTATACATGTGGACCTTGCCAGAGGGAATACACAGGAATCAGATCAGCTACATCTGTGGAAAGGTGATGGAGAAGCTCAGTCTCTTCAGCCAAAACAAGGCCAAGAGCTGACCGTGGAACAGACTATCAATTGCTCATGTGGAAGTTCAAGTTGAAGACAATTAAAACAAGTTCACGAGAGCCAAGGTATGACCTTGATTATATCCTACCTGAATTTAGCTACCATCTGAAAAATAGATTTGGTGGCTGGAACACCGGTGACCAAAAACCAGACAAATTGTGGGATGGCATCAAGAACATCATACATGAAGAAAGCAAAAAGTAATTAAAAAGACAAGAAAGGAAGGAAAAAACAAAATGAATGTCAGTAGAGACTTTGAAACTTTCTCTTGAATGGAGAGTAGCTAAAGCAAATGGAAGAAATGATAAGGTAAAAGAGCTGACCAGAAGATTTCAAAGAGCAACTTGAGAAGACAAAGTCAGTTATTAAAATGAAATATGCAAAGATCTGGAGTTAGAAAACCAAAAGGGAAGAACACGCTTACCATTTCTCAAGCTGAAAGAACTGAAGAAAAAAATTCAACCTTTGAGTTCCGATATTAAAGGATTCTATGGACAAAATATTGAATAATGCAGGAATCATCAAAAGAAAATGGGAAGGATACACAGAGTCACTGTACACAAAAGAATTGATTGATGTTCAGCTATCTCAGGAGGTAGCACATGATTAAGAACCAGTGGTATCGAAGGAAGAAGTTGAAGCTGCACTGAAGGAACTGGTGAAAAACAAGGCTCCAGAAATTCACAGAACACCTTTTGACATGTTTCAACAAATGGATGCTGCACTGGAGGCGCTTAGTTGTCTATGTCAAGAAATTTGGAAGACAGCTACCTGGTCGACTGACTGGAAGAGATTCATATTTGTGCCCATTCCAAAGAAAGATGATCCAACAGAAAGTGGAAATTATTGAACAGTATCATTCATATCACACACAAGTAAAATTTTGCTGAAGATTATTCAAAAACAGTTGCAGCAGTATATTGACAATGAACTTCCAGAACTGCAAGCTGGCTTCAGAAGAGGACATGGAATGAGGGATATCATTGGTAATGTCAGATGGGTCTTGGCTGAAAGCAAAGAATACCAGAAAAATGTTTACTTGTGTTTTATTGAGTATGCAGAGGCATTTGACTATGTGAATCATAACAAATTATGGATAACATTGAGAAGAATGGGAATTCCAGAACACTTGATTGTGCTCATGAGGAATCTGTACGTAGACCAGGAGGCTGTTGTTCAAATAGAATGAGGGGATACTGCATGGTTTAAAGTCAGAAAGGGTTGTATCCTTTCACCACACTTATTCATTCTGTATGTTGAACAAATAATCTGAGAAGCTGGGCTATGGGAAGAAGAATGCAACATAAGGATTGGAGAAACAACCATTAACCTGCGATATGCAGATAACACAACCTTGCTTGCTGAAAGTGAAGATGACTTGAAGCACTTACTGATGAAGATTAAAGACTACAGTCTGTAGTATGGATTACACCTTAACGTAAAGAAAATGAAAATCCTCACAACTGGACCAAGAAGCAGCATCATGATAAATGGAGAGAAGATTGAAATTGTCTAAGATTTCATTTTACTTGGATCTATAATCAACAGCCATAGAAGCAGCAGTCAAGAAAGCAGACATCATAATGCACTGGGCAAATCTACTGCAAAAGACTTCTTTAAAGTGTTGAAGAGCAAAGATGTCACTTTGAAGACTAAAGTATGCCTAATCCAAGCCATGGTATTTTCAGAAATGAGTAAGGAAGACTGAAGAATAGTTGATGCTTTTAAGTTGTGGTGTTGACAGAGAATACTGAAAGTACCACGGACTGCCAGAAAAATGAACAAATCTGTCCTGGACAAAGTGTGGCCAGAATGCTCCTTGGAAGTGAGAATGGCTAGACTTCGTCTCCTCTACTTTGGTCATGTTGTTACAAGAGACCATTGAATACAAGAGAAGGATATCGTGCTGATCTCCCATGCTTAATTGTACCAGGTGTACCTACCTGGTACAATTGCCCACCCTATAGGCCTATTGTTTGGCTAGAAACCAAGGGAGTGAGTTCAATTACTGCCCAAAGGGTGACTAGGGTCCCTGTCTTGGGAGTTTCACCAGTCTCTTATCAGACCTGTAAGCCTGTTTTTCTTATGATTCTGAGTTTTGTTCCACATTTTCCCCCTACTCTAGAATGGTCAGCAGTGGTAGCCTGATGTCATCTAGTTCTTCCTGTCTCAGGGTAATGGAGGCTGGGGCTCACATGGTCCAGTAGTCCCTTGGACTAATTATTTCCATATGTCTCTGATTTTCTTCATTCTTCTTTGCTTTAGTTGAAGAAAGACCAATTGTTGGATCTTAGTTGGCCACTAGCAAGCTTTTAAGACCCCAGCGCTACTCACCAAAGTAGAATGGTGAACAATGTTTTGGTGTAGTATATGTATCAGTTGGGGAGCTCTGGTAGCATAGTGGATAAGACATTTGCCTGCTAACCAGAGGGCTCGCGGTTCAAACCCACCAGCCACTCCTCGAAAGGCAGGTTGGGCAATCCTACTTCCGTAGTGATAGTGCCTCGGAAACCCAAGGAGGGGTCGCTATGAGTCAGGTTTGACTCGACGGCACATAACAACAACAATGTATCAGTTGAGCTTAATGTCCCCCACAACCATGGTCCATAGGCCCAGCAGCTCACTCCCTCAAGGTGTTTGGCTGTGGGTCTTCCTTACACTTTCATGGTTAAGCATCAGTAATGAGAACTGCTGGAATTTGAATTGATTTGACAGATTTTTACATGAGACTGCTCAGAGATTTTTAAAAGCCTCCAGTTTTGCTTAGTATTTTTCTATTAAGAATTTCTTCTCTTTTGATATACTTAGGGCGGTGACAAGAATAAATGAGGTGTTTTTTTTTTTTTCTCCAGTGTGATTTGTTTTTAAAACTTCCATTACAGAGAAGTAATGTTTATAATTTTTGGCTTTGTACACAATACTGTAAGTAAATTACAAAATTTTTAACAAGACAGAATGATACTCTGTTTTAGAAACAATATTGAGCTGGTCTCTACCATGTTGTTTAAACCAGGAATTCCTGCTATTATTTTTAAAAGGTTCATATTTTATTTCAGGTAGACCCACAGCTTGTGGATGGACACCTTTCATACTTTCTTGGAGCTATAGGTATGCCTGGTTTGACTTCCTTGATTGGAATTCAAGAAAAAGGCCATATAACTGCTGGATCCAATCAAACAATGATTGTCAGTGGGGCTGCTGGTGCTTGTGGATCTTTGGCTGGGCAGGTAAACTTTCAGAGAATTATTTGATTTTCTTTAAGAATAATCATACTGATTTTTGTGGTATATAAATATAAAATTAAACAAATGGAATGTAACTGTGGTAGTTCATTTGTGTGTCAACTTGGCTGGGCCTGGTTGAGTGGCTGGGCAGCTGGATGTAGTATTCCCTGTGATGAGACTGGTAATCTGCTCCATGGTAGAATCTACTGGGAGCAGCTGAGTAGCTGCCTTAGGGTTTGTGGTCTGCTTCCTGTATATAAACAGAAGCCTTGGGGAATGGTCTCTAGCTTATGGCATGCTTGGACCCTGCATGTAGCCATATTGTTGTGCAGCAGCCTGCCATGCTCTGCCAACCTGGGGACTTACAATGGACTTGAATTAATGGCCTGCCGTGTGGTTTGGTAACATGAGGATTGTGCCTTTTTACTTGTCAACCTTGGGCTTGGCAGCCCCAGCAGCTCTCTGAGTGAAGAAATGCCTCTAGCTCCAGTGGGCCGGAAGCTGAGGCAGAGCTGAAGCCCAAGGCTGAGGGGCTTTCACCCAGCCCCTAGAGCCTGGCACTTTGAACTTGGACTTAAACTCTCCAAATTGTAAGAATAAATTCCTGTTTATTATTAATTAATATATACCACCCATTTGTGGTATATATTCCTGTCAGAGCGGCACTAGGTAACCAGAACAGTAACATAATTATGCGCGTGTCTGGTAGAAATAGGGTTACTGTACTACTTAGGCTCTCAATGAAAATGTAAAAAATATTGTAGATTTTTGTGTCTTGTTCTCTAGTAACCAAAAATAGACATGGTAAATGAGGGATCATTCTTATCAATATAAAAAAGAGAATCATAGAGTTTCTGTCTGGAATCCCATGAATTAAAAAAAAAGGAACTCATACTTTTTTTCCAAAAATCCTCAAATAAGAAAGTAGTCATTAGATTCTAGAAATTTAGTAATAAAAAACTAACCAAACTGACTGCCGTTGAGTTGGATCTGACTCATAATGACCCCTCCTTGGGTTTCCGAGCTAGTATCACTACGGAAATAGATTGCCCAACCTTCCTTCCGAGGTTTGAACTGCCAGACTTCTGGTTAGCAGTCAAATGCCTTAGGCACTACACCACCATTTAGTAATAGATGTTTAATAATAGTAATAGACCTTTAAGTTCATTATTTTACAAATAGGTTTTTATAGTGTGAAACCATTAAAAGAAAACATTTTATTTTAGTTGTGTTTTTAATTCCTCATAGGTCTGCAGATATTGAGTGGTGGAATGGCAATGATGGGGTCTGAATATTCCTTTCATGCAATTGGCTTTAAATTGTGTATTTTAACATTTGAACCAAATCTAATTTTATTCAATGTAAATTAAAAAAATTCTTTTCTCACTCTCAGTTACTTACTTATTTATACTTAATTATTTTGATATCAAATTACTTTTAGCTGAAAGCAGTATGATTGAACGTAAAATGGAGGTTGACACTCTCATATATTTGTAATACCTTGTATAGAAAAAAACAAATCCAAACCCACTAGTTTTGCATTTTTACATTCAAATGTGACAATATAAAGCCATTTACTTTTCAAAAATTTTCCCCTAGATTGGCCATTTGCTGGGCTGTTCCAGAGTGGTGGGAATTTGTGGGACACATGAGAAGTGCCTCTTTTTGACCTCAGAACTGGGCTTTGATGCTGCAATTAATTATAAAGAAGAAAATGTGGCAGAACGAGTACGAGAGTTGTGTCCAACTGGAGTGGATGTTTACTTTGACAATGTTGGTGGTGACATCACTGATGCAGTGATAAGTCAGGTTGTTAATTTGTTTCCGTTATAAATTTGAGTATTATATTTTATTTATTTCCTTTTTAGTTGTGGTAAAAAAAAAAATACATATAGCAACATTTGTCAATTGTGGTATCTTTTACCTGTTACTGAAAGGAAGAAAAAAAAAACTTTGGGTTTATTGTAATAACATGATGATCAATATTGTAATTGAGTCATCAAAGATCTTTAGATATCTGCTTCCATTTACTTGCACTATGAACATCAATTTTAGTGCTTTACTAGCAATATTATCTTATATATTTCACTTTCAGCTCATGTTTGTGAAAAATTACTGGTGCATTGTTCAGATGGTGACGTACTAACCTGTCTTGTACGTAGCTCACCATCAGCCACCTGACAGCCATGGCCCCTCACTTTGGGTAGTTGTTGTATGCCACCGAGTCAGTTCCGACTCACAGTGACCCTATATAACAGGGTAGAACTGCCTCCTAAGGTTTCCTAGGCTGTAACCTTTTCAGAAGCAGATCACCAGGTCTGTCTCCTGTGGAAGAGGGCTCTAGGGACACAGTGGGTAAAGCATGTGGCCGTTAACCAAAAGGTCAGCAATTTGAACCCACGAGCTGCTCTACCCACGAGGGAAATGAGGTAGTTTGCTTCCATAAAGATTTGCAGCCTTGGAAACCCTATGGAGCAGTTTCTACCCTGTCCTGTGAGGTCACTATGACTCAGAATCGACTTGATGACTGTGAGTTTTTAGTTGGTTTTCCCGTGGAGCCACTGGGTAACCTTTCCGTTAGCAGCTGAGCGCTTTACCATTGTGCCGCCAGGGCTCTTTGACTTTTGATAGGGAATGGATTTTTATAGATTATAGGTATTTCAAGTATTTTTTTTGGCGGGGCTATAGAGTATCAATATTACGTACTGACACTGCATAATCCTTTATGTCAAATTGTTTGCAGCTGAGATTCAATTACTGAAATCTAAAGAAACACCCTACAACTATTAATAAAAATAGTATAAATATATATATATATATAAAACTACAATAACAAGAACTAATGTAATTATTTTGCTGATTACCAGACTCTTATTTACCTCTATGTTTTTTTAGAGTGGACTTAGACTAATTAAAACTCCTAAATACATATAATGGGTAATTAATTCACTGGCACTAAAGGATTAAATATAATAGTCAAGGTGGCTTTGATTGAGGCAGCTGTAAATTCAGTAGGCATAGGAAAGGCATATATCTTAAGGTATACTCATCAATCTTCTGTGAACAGATGAATCAGAACAGCCACATCGTCCTGTGTGGTCAGATTTCTCAGTACAACAAGGATGTGCCTTATCCTCCCCCACTGCCTCCTGCTATAGAAGCAATCCGGAAAGAAAACAACATCACAAGGTGTGTTCTACCCCTTTGCCCGTATTACTAGAGGATTCAAATATCAGAGATGTATATGAAATACATTGTTACTCATATATAATTTTGCTTTCTCCAATAAAACTTGAAAATATACATGGTAAAAAATTTTCATTGTGGTGAAATATATGTAACAAAACATTTATTCCCACCATTTTTGCATGTACAATGTAAATTACATTTACGGTGTTGTGCAGATATCACCACTATCTGTTTTGAAGTTTTTTCTGTCACCCTTAATGCAGCATTCCTTAGCAATACCTCCCCATTTCTCCCTCCTGTCCACCCCTGGTATAAACTTTTGTCTTTATGCATTTGCTTATTCTAGATGGAAAATACAGATTTTAAAGAAAGTTCAATATTTAGTTTTTGGTTAATTTGCTCCCTAGCAGAAATCTTAAAAAAAAAAAAAAATGCTGTTGTATCAGTCAGAACTCTTGACTATGATAGAAACTAAGTGTACACTGGCTTATCAAGGGGGAAATTTATTGGCTCATGGACCTGAGGTAGTCAGACACCTGATTATTTATGTATGATACATAAATCAGTTTAGATATGGCTAGATCCAGGGCTTGCATAGTGGTATCAGGACTCAGTTTTTCTCCTCTTCTGGGTTGGCTTTGCTCTCCACAGTCTCTCTCCTTGTGGTAGCAAGAGAATGACTGGTAGCTCTAGTCCTCCATTTTACCAGGCTAGCAATCCAAACAAAGGCAGTAGTTCTCCTTTTGTGGTTTCAAGTCTCAAAGTGGTAATTATTGGCTCTGACTGGCCTGGCTTAGGTCAGATGAGGGTGGGAAAAGGGTATTGCCAACAAAGGAAAATCAAGATATTACTAAAAGGGGTTGTAGAGCTTGGGTAGACAAAAACAATAGAAGTCCACTATACTTCTACCTGTAAATACACCTAAAACTACATTTAATCAGATTTAGTGTGATTAAATACTAATCTCTGAAGGATAAACAGATAATAGAGTTCTAGAAGGATTTGATTTTGAACTCCTTCACTCCTTCCCTATTCTCTGATCATTATCTTTTTCTCCCTCTACTACAGAGAAAGATTTTTGGTGTTAAATTATAAGGACAGATTTGAGCCTGGCATTCGACAGTTAAGCCAGTGGTTTAAAGAAGGAAAACTAAAGGTATAACTTGCTTCTTTTCTTTATCAATATAATGCTTCTGGTTACTTGATATACTTTTGTAGGATTTGAATTTATTATAGCAAACATATTAGTTTTATAATAAAAATTCCTTCAAATAAAAATGTTAATATTATAGTGAAATATGCGAAAGCCAGAACCTCTGTAAGTTGAAAACCTGTCAGAAAAGAAAAACACAAATATTTTCCACTAAAATGAGCAATAGAAAAATGGTAAGAATGCACCCCGGTCAAAGGTGGAAAACTTTTGAGGAAAGTGGAAAAACAAGGCAATCCCTTTGCGTTCCAGCTCTCACAGGTTTATCTCCCAAGAGAGTATCACCTCCTGATTGAGAAATTCTCTTATTAGTCCCTTTGTCTAAAATTTTACTGAGCTTTTATATTATACAATTGTTTTTTTTTCCAAATATAAAATTCTAACAGTTATTCATTTAACAACTATATATGTAATGCTGCTATGTGTTAGAAGCTGTGCTTTCTCAAATCACTTCCTCTACCTCTACCACATTTCTTTACTGCCCTTCCTAGTCCTTCTATCTCTTGGTTGTTGGTTGAAAATCAGGAATTACTAATCTGGAGTCCACAAACCCTGACCTAGGATGCTCTTAAAACTTTCACATGGTTTGCAAAGTTGTATGCGGGTATGCTCATGTACTTTATTTTTGGAAAGAAGATGTATAGTTGCCAGCTGAAGATTGGACAATGAGAAAATAGAATTTTATTTTTAAAAGTCAATTACTAAAAGCTTTCCTGGGTTACCTGTGTGATATAAAGAATATTTATTTTTAGACATAAAGTACTAAATAGTATTGCTGCCTATTACAAAAAGTGGAAACTAATTAATAGAAACATTGAGGTCTAAAGAATAATCTAGCTATTTTGATTTACAGATCAAAGAGACTATGATATATGGATTGGAAAACATGGGAGGTAAGATGAATATATTTATTTATAATATACGTGTTAAGCACAAATATTCCTTTTTTCTTTTAATGCTACCACTCAGGTGTTTTTGTTTTATTCACTTCTTTCTTTCCTGTAAAAGTGCCCTTCAGGCTTCCTCAAGTATCTTAAACTTCATGAAAATTCAACTTTCTGGTACTTAAGAAGTATCATTTTCACATTAGGAGCCCTGGTGGCGTAGTACCTAAGGCATTTGACTGCTAACCAGAAGGCTGGGGGTTTGAACCCACCAGCTACTCCTTGGAAGGAAGATTGGGCAGTCTTCTTCTGTAGAGATAGTGCCTGGGTTGCTATGAGTCAAAATGACTTGACGGCAGTGAGTTTGGTTCCCACTCCCCACATTTCAATTTATAAAATAACTGTTTCTTTGGTTTCATGAACAGTTTATGAAAAAAATAATGCAAGAATTGTAAAAGAGCCCTTTAGCCTATAGGTAATTTTTTCAGATTGAATGGTTCTGAGGCTCTTACAAAGTGCCTGAATGGTATGAGCAGTTTGCCATTGGCAGCTAATCTAAAGGTTGGCAGTTCAAACTCACTCATTGGCACCTTGGAAGAAAGGCCTGACAAACTGCTTCTATAGAATATAGCCAAAAAAATCATGTGGAGCACTTCTATCCTGTAACACGTGGGGTCGCCATGTGTTGGAAATGACTTGACAGCACTGAGTTTTTTTGGTTTGAGGCATCATAGATTATATTCAGTAAATTTTCAATATTTAGGTTTTTTTTTTTTTTTAAATTTTGCCTTATGGATTTCAGAATTTTCCTTCATGTTTCAAATGAAAAAGATTAAATCAAATTGATTTTTTCCTTTTTTTAAAAAAATTAATATTTGGTTAGTACATTTATTAAACAGAATTTCACTTATTTGCTTGGTATTACAATGTGTATTTCACTTATTTACTTACTAAAATTTTATGACTAGGTTTCTAATATTTTTGACACTTATCTAAGTCTTGTTTTCACTGACATTTTGTTCCCATTCTTATTCTGCTCTAGTCTTCAGATTTTAAATAGCATTGATGTAGAAAACAAACATTTCCCAAAACAGTATTTTCAGGTGCTAATTGGATTGGCTTGTGCTGTAACTTATTTTTGTGTTTTGAGGCTTCTTTCTTGACAGTGAACTTATTAAAATCTTTGAAGAAGAAATGATTCAAACTAATCATATGTATTTTGTTAGTCTGACCTCCTGATCAACATGATAGTGGCATTAATCTTTTCAGATAAACCTATTTTTTTCTTTTCCAGCTGCATTCCAATCCTTGATGACAGGAGGTAACATCGGAAAGCAGATAGTTTGCATTTCAGAAAAATTCACTTTGTAATCTCTGGAAGAGTGGTCAGCAAGGAAATCACAGATTTCTCTCCTTTTTGTACAAGTACTTTTCAAGATACATTTACGGAAAAAACCAGAGTACCAAACCAAATGCACAGCCTGACTCATAGTGACTTCTCATTGGGTTTCCAAGGCGGTATTACTACGGAAGTAGATTGCCCAACCTTCCTTCCAAGGAGTGGCTGGTGGGTTTGAACTGCTAGCCTTCTGGTTAGCAGTCAAATGCCTTAGGCACTACGCCACCAGAGCTCCTACTTAGAGTACAGATAACTTTTAATTTAAATGTGAGCATAGGCGATAACTTAGGTGCTTGATATATTCTTTTCTGTATCTTTTTATCATATACATACTGTACATCTATCATTTGATTATTTATAGTAATAGAATGGAAGTCACCATGATCTAATTTTTTTTTCTCTGCTAAACCTAATGTTACGTACATTTTAATATTCTGAAGCCACTATAAATTTGATGAAACTGTTTCTGGATCTTACAAAATAATACATAACAAATTTTTTTTTATTATTAAAGTAGAAAGCTCAAGATGTACCTTTTTGTTCTGTTTTTTTATAATGCTGATATTAAAATTTAACATTTTTGTAGCAATAACTTCCAAACACTTATTTCCTGGGCAAGTCAACCTTGACAGAATTTCATTTTTAAAATAGGTTTGCTAGACAAGATAACCCTTTCTTTTTGAGATTCATCTATGTCTACCAGCCATTGAATCATATAATTTGTGTCTATCCAATTAAGAAGTGTGCAAAATGTGATATATCCTCTGATTAATAAACAAAGTACATTTTGTCATGCACTTTCTTTTACAATAAACACAACTTTTATTGTTTCTGATTAAAAAGTAAATTGGAGGCCAGAGAGACTTTCTGGTGGCGGCTTCTGATTGACCATGTGCCTGGCACAGAGACAAATATCAGTGTTCCTGAAAAAAATCCATTAATGGGGGAAAAGTCCAGGGCCCAGTAGGTGAGACAGTAACTCTGGAGTAGGGGACGGTGAGGTGTGTGAACATATCCAGACTTGGAATTTGGAATAATGAACCAATTGTTTTGTGAGTATGCCATGTTTAAGTAAATACTTCTCTGACAAGTATGTTTCATTTCAAACTGAACTGCTTACCTGAAAAAGATTTGAGGCCAGCCCTGCATTATTAGCTGTATAATCTTAGGAAAAGTGACTTAACTTCTCCAAGCCTGCTTCTTTAGTTCTTAAAAATGAATCATTTTGCCCTTTTTATTTTATAGGAATGGTATGAAGCAAAAGAAGTAATAGATGTGGCACTGCAAGGTCTGGAAAAACAAGGCAGTCCCTTTGCATCCTGGCTCACAGGTTTCACTGTATTTGTTGAATTGGAAATGCTTCATATGATTCTTAACTAAAACTTGGTGTAAGAATAGAATTGGGATTAAAAAACCCCATTTCAACTCATAGTGACCCAGCAAAACTGCCTCATAGGGTTTCCGAGGCTGAGGCTGTAGTCTTTTAAGGAAGGAGACTGCCACATCTTTCTCAGGAGGAGCAACTGGTGAGTTTGAACCACCCACTTTTCAGTTTGCAGCTGAGCACTTAACCACTGCCCCACTAGGGCTCCTTATAGTTGGGATAGCATTTCCATATTGTAGATGGAAGAGGTACATAATGACAGGGTGTTTACGTAGGGTTTGGGAGTGGGCTGGGGGATTAGGAGTTTGTGGAACAGTTGGGATGGGGGAGAAGAGGCTTTGGGTGGAAAGAGTATGAGGAATTGAGTAACTGAGACTGCCTAAGTGAATGAAGATTGACACCAGAGGATGACCTATCGGAGTCTTACCAAGTATTTTACTATGTAGCCTGAAATTCAAAATAGAGAGTGTAATTGTTTTAAGTTAGCAGACACATACCGTCCAAAGGTATGAAAAGGCACATAGATACAGATTTCCCCTGCTATCCAAAAGTAGAGTGGTCCTGTGAAAACTTTTGTAAGCTGAAATGGTATAAAATGAAGCATTACTATTAATTTATATGGGAAAACATTTTTGAGTATTCTGAGACCTCCCAAATAACCTACTAAACAGACCAAATAACACATAAAACCTAAAACAATAATACAGAGTTCACAGACATTTCAAAGCTGTGGCGACTTGATGCTGAGTGTAGTTCCTAGAGAAAGAGCCTGGTGATGCCACCTTCACTGCTCTAGGTGGTGGCTACTGTAGGGCTCACTGGAAAACAAAGCTAAATGCTAGTTTCACTTCGTGCCTTTTTAAAATAAAAGTGAAAATCCTCTTCAGATTTCTTTCGGTTAGTGAAAACAAGTACTAATGCAGGTCTGTTGTCAAAGGAAGTGGTGTAAAGTGAAATTTCGAAAAGCAGGTATATTTGTATAAACATCACTTGGAGTTTTAGGCGATTAAAAAGATTAGACAACAAAGGCAGCTTAGAAAATTACACGATTGGGCAAATTAATAAACAGTCGTAAACATGCATTGGCATTTCTTAAGCTGAAACAACTGAGGAAAAAATTTAAGCCTGAAGTTGCAATACTGAAAGATTCCATGGGCAAGATATTGAATGATCAGGAAATATCAAAAGAAGATGGAAAGAATACACAGTCATTGTACCAAAAAGAACTGGTCGATCTTCATCCATTTCAGGAGGTGGCATATAATCAAGAACCAATGGTATTGAAGGAGGAAGTCGAAGCTGCAATGAAGGAATTGATGTAATACCCATTGAGATATTTCAACAAATGGATGCCCCACTGGAGGCACTCACTCGGTTATGCCAAGAGATTTGGAAGACAGGTACCTGGCCAACTGACTGGAAGAGATCGTCAGAGATCCATATTTGTCCCCATTTCAAAGAAAGGTGATCCCACAGAATGTGGATATTATTGAACAATATCATTAATACTGCATACAAGTTAAGACGTGGCATCAGGATTGAAGGAAGAATCATTAACAACCTGCGATATGCTGACGACACAACTTTGCTTGCTGAAAGTGAGGATGACTTGAAGCACTTACTGATGAAGATTGAAGAATACAGTCTGTAGTATGGATTACATCTCATTATAAAGAAAACAAAAATCCTCACAACTGGACCAATAAGCAGCATCACGATAAATG